CGGTGATGAGACGAATCGTACAGCAATCGGCAGACATCAGATGGTCACATAATCAACAGCATTACAAGTGACATCTCTATTTAGCCTTCTTCTCAAAGTCAAATTTTCTTACATTCAATTGTTCATCCATTTACCTACAGTGTTAATCAGTTGAATATATTCTTGATACTTTTAAGCTATAATTCAACCCAATAGACATAACACCTATATTTGGCTATTTTATCTCATTACATGGGATTACTAACTGCGAACTCATTTTTGATCTGCGCAAATAAACGGCTTATTACCCTTATCACTCACGAGACACCACAAAGGGTACCAAGACCATTACGTGCATAAAATAAGGCCTAGACAACACATTATTTTACTTCGGTCTTTTTCTCCTCACTGTTACACACAGACCCTGTTGATGCAGGAGATTTATTTTGTAAGATTATACAAAATAACATCGTCAATCTATTTAAGGCTCTGGTTTTGAGGCTCATGGATATGGCGATTTAGACTAGACCAGCTTCCTTTCCATCCACCACTGATAGACCAGCTACTCACAACCCTGACGAACAACCCGACTCATCTATTATCTACTGTGCTGGCTGTTTCAGAGGGATCATTGTACTGTTGGCAGCTCTACGCGCTTACATACCCTTCACTAGCATTTTGTTGAGCAGTTAAAGGGCGCTCAAATCCACATAAATACCAATTCTAGCCTGCTCTAATCGGTGGGTGCTATACTGATTTCGGCTTTAGCCGTTTAAAATACCTTTTATTACCAAAAGGCCTTTTTGATTACCTCATTTGATGAAGGTTCTTTGGCTAGCCTTTCAATATCAATGGAAAAATCGATTCGTTTGAACTGTCCGGGTGGGTCCAGGGGAGCACGTGGGCTATTTAAAGCGCCGGCCTGGGCTTGTGCATGCGTCATTGTTCAACCATAACGACCTGATTCACACACCAACCTGTTGCCCTATGCTTACCCCACAAACATTGCCTCGCCTTCCCACCGCCTCCACCAAACCCCTCTCCGCCTCCCATACCAGTGGGTCAAAGAAGACCAAGCAGCTGCACGACTACAAACTACCCTCCCTATCCCCCAACCAGAAGATCCCACCATCCCCAAAGATAACTCCGATGTCCAAGCAACAACGCTGGACGTATATGTTCTCAAAGAGGCTACCCAAAATTCGAAACAATTTGCATCTGCCGCCATTGGAAACGGTATCCACGGAGAAGGCGGGAAAGAAGAACTTACGAGAGAAGGAGATAAAAGTCCTACCCAAGTTGGGAAAGTAGAACGATAATGTTTTTAGGCAAGCTTTATACTTTGTAAGACACTTAAGATGACTTTACTCCTACTCTGTATGTGTAATATAACTTCTATACTCGCATTTGCGCTTAGGATAAGGCATTTCTTAATGCAAAAAACATATTTTTGACAAGTAATTACATCTTCTGCCTTTCGTTCCCACTCCGGAGGTATTTAAATGAGGTAATTATGAGGTTTAGGACAAAAAAATTCTTATCCACAACTCCAACAACTTAGCAGTTATGAGAATGCCGTAATTCCAACAATTGACTTTCGACTCGCTTTGAAAAGGCTTAACTAGACCTCAAAACATGGCCTGATAATGTGAGCTTAAGAGAGGCTTGTAATTGTTAAGACCTGAAAGGGTTTCACAAAGCAAACTAGTGCCGTAGCTCTTCCAAAATAAACGGGATGGGTTCGAGGCCAGCTCCCAATGTGATTGGTGATTTTAAGGTTTATGGCACTAAGAGGTGATTGGCTAAAATTGCACCAACCATGATTAGGAAAGGATAAACTTGTTCACCTCTTAATTTAAGGTCAACAAATGCCTCTGATACACCGCCACATTTTGAACTATCACGTGACTATACCAGTCAAGTCTCTTCAATGATAGTTAAACGGAGGCAAGTTAGTAGCTTTTAAGACATTGAGGGCAAATTTCTTACGATTGTAATGTGCTGGTTTAATCAAGTAAAGTTAAAAAGGAGACGTTTTAGCCGCCTCTGTTATGTCACCGCAATTTTTATGGCGGTACACAAATACAGATACGGTTGTTAAACGTATTCAAGTCATAGTTTAAATGGACATAATTCATTCTCATCATTAAGTCTCGAATTAGGTAAGAGTTTTTCAAAAACTTTTTCCCCTTCATATATTCCTATGTCTCATATCTGTCCATCAAAACACCAAACTGTATAGTTGCTTATCCATTTTACTCGGACATAAATCAACGTACTCCCCGATCATTCACAACAGGCGTGCATCTGTCAAATTTGCCCTTACCAGTGTTCTCCAAATGTCACTAGCAAAATTGTTTGCTGTGGAGCGAATGTCACCTTTCGTTAGCTTTATGCAAAATACCTAGTTCTGTATTACTTGCTATATTTCTTGCGCTTAGAGCTCAAATATTAACATTAAATTATAATAAGTTAGGATAACTCAAAAATGCCAAATGTTGTCATAACAACCATCATGAGTTAACTTGCAATGAACGGAAATTTGACTTACTCCACCCTCAGTTTCCTACGTAAAGCATAAAGTCGGTAGGATTGATGTCTCGCAGAATCGCATTATTTATTCTACCCCTCTTCATGATTGGTGTTTCTCTATTCCCGATCTCAAACGTTGATTGGTCAAATCGATTTTGAGCAACCAGTAAATTTTAACGTTTATTTAACCTTCGCTTCATTGATTGGTAGAAATCACGAGGGTTTCAAAGGCACTCATAAAAGGTACTTTCAGCCACCAATATTAAGTATGCTCTTAGAGTCTCTCTTTATTGTTCGATCAGACGTCAGGAGAGTGATGTGGTTACCGGAAGGTCAAGGCGTGTGTGGGGAATTAAAGAGCAATATAAGGTTTAACAAGTTTTGCCTTACTGACACACTGATCCAGTAGTAAAATATTGTTTATAAATTATCCAAATACCTCTTTACTGTGAAATAACCTCCGCACCTTCATCAAAGAGTAGACTAACGGTTGGTGGAACGGAAGTTATCTGCGTCTGATATAAACGCCAGACATGGTCGGAGACATCCAATAACAACCTCAGTGTTGTTCTTTCGAAAAAGAGCTTACTTCACAATGTAGGTAAAGTTGGGACGCTGCGGAAGTCATTAAATGTCTCTTTGCGGATGTTCGTTTAGCACCCAAAAAAATGTGCATGCAGCTTACTGGATAAGTGAGTCGAAAACGCATTAACTTGAACAGGTTTTATCCTATGTGAACTTAGTGGACGTCCATATGGATTGGAGTGTCGAAGGACCAGCAAATCGATGGCAAGAAGAAGGTAGATAAGGAAAGGACAGTCGTGGAGAGGTGTTACTTTCCTTAGCCGTCTAAGTGACACCTCCGAGTCACTGCTAAGTTAAACACCGTCAAATAATGAACTGGCCTCCCTTAGTTGAATACCCAAATTAAAAGAGGAGTTGGAAAATTTGTGGTCGTACGCGTAGACATACCACACCTAAAGTGGTTATTAATGCAAGTGTACACGTTGGACCGTTCAACACAGTATCGACAAGGCGAACCGAAGTAGCTTGAATCAACCACAATCAAATCCACCACATTGAAAGTCATTATAGTCTCCAAATTGACGCCCCTCTGATCGCTTAGCATCAATAACAGAAAACAAAATGTTTCGCTCTAAAGGTTAGCCTAAACCAGTGTCAAATACAGATATGAATTAATAGATATTTCCTTCGTGAATTGCAGGTATGGGCAAAATAATCTGTCCTACGTAGACCATTTGGTTACACAACATCAACTGTCATCTAACATCACGACCCATTCAAAAAAATAAAACAAATAAATGCATATTTTGTTCTCCCCTCCTCCTCCTCCTCCTCCTTCTCCTCCTGCTCCCTCGCCACCCTCTTCTCCTCCACCCTGCCCAACTTGTTTTTGGCCTCCCAACAGCTGTTTGATTGCATCATCCACGTCAAGCCAATCGATGGGAAAGGCGGAGAATTTGAAATTCGGCTATAGATGTATAACAAGGAGGCGTTGCAGAGGCACCCGACTCCAGACACATGCTGTGTACGAGATGAGTCCACAAAAGGAGCCGTTCAAACTCGTGAGTATATCTACAATTTGCTGGCTCAACAGACAAGCGCAGTAAACAGTCAGAAAAGATTGCCGAGGATACGACCGCGTAGGACGTCACCACCACCACTACCGGATGCAGTGCCAAAAGCGCCACACAAAACCATGGGTCCACCTCCGCATCCCCATCCAGAGGCAATTCAACCCCCACAGAAAGCACCTTTTAAGCCGAAGCACTGGAGAACACCTTTTATGGACAGACAGTGTGTGAAGGAGAAAGTGAAACTTGATAAGATTGCCTTTGAGAAGCTGAAGTTGGATAAACCAACTGGCCGTGTTAAAGATGCTTGTTGTGCTGGAGTGAGACCACCGATCCCTCCCAATCCGCATGGTGAATCGATTCAATGTCGTGAGCTTCCAAATCGTACCAACTGGATCGAGCGAAATGCCATAAAGGCAATCACGAGTAAACCGGGTTATCGCGTATTCAATGCTGATAGGAAGATGATTGTTGACACGAGGAGGGGAGACAAACAAGCTCTAGTCTCGAGTAAGACACACTCGGGGTTGGAGAAACGATACGTCTATAAACCGACCTTTGGGAGGGTGCCAAGGTACCTCAGACAACGCGCTGAGGCTATAGCTGACACCCGAGCAGCCTATTCACACTACTTAAATGAGAAGGAGTTACAGCGGACTGATTATATGTTGACAGAGAAAGAACGCCAAGATTTATTGAATGGGCTAAAGACGGCGTGGGATGAGTACAATGCAAAGTATCTGGGGTTGTCAGTGAGTAGAAGCGGTGCAAAGCAAAAGTCCTACGGTGACTTCTTGGAGAAGCAGTTGGCAAGCCTAGAACGCGACATAGAAATGATTGAGAGTCACCCTTACATCTTTATTGATGCGGATAAGACACCCGGAGTGGGCGGAGCTGTGACTAATGATATTCAGGTTTAAGAAATTGCCATGTTCGAATGATTCCTGACACGGTGTACAGACCATCCAGCATCTCGTGAAACAATGGTAGAGGTAGGAATATAGAGGCAAATTTAGTGATGCTTATCTTGGTGTCTTTTAAAAAAATGGTTTAACAGAAGATAACAGCTAGATGGAGACCTTTTTTCATGTTCTATTGTTGATAAGATTAAAGGCAATATTGGGCGGGCATGTGCTACTTAATTCCATAAGTAGAAATACACTGATAGTAGAAAACAGGGTAGCATTATTTAGATGAAGGCAGATATCGCAATCTTCGAATCCATTTTAGATAAAAAAAATTTGGCAATTTCATCAAAAATTGGTTTCTTTTAGAGTTAAGTAAGAACCAAGTGTGTACATCTTCCCTTGAATAATGTGAGAACTGCATTTGGTGGCAAAGTCTGATGCAATTCAGTGCCTTAAACCATACTTAGTCGCCACTTTGTAGAAAGTGAATTGGTCCACTTGTCATGCCATCCTGACTGCATTGCGCTGGGCGATTTTTTCAGTGATGTGACAAATTGCTGCATTTGTGTCCACATCTTGCTGCAGTTCTTGTGAGACGATCAGCAGACTTTAACTTTTCTACTCTCCTCTCCTTTCCCTTACCCTCCTCTGTTTACCAAGCAATCATCAAAGCGGATTCTTCCATTTCATTGCTCAAACGATGGGGGTGGAGAATGAAGAGAGGGTGTCAATTTGTTTAAATGTTGCATAAATCTCTGGCTAATTAAAATTTCAGACCGAGTTTGGCCTAGTCCGTTCTCCAGTGACTGCAACAGGTTGTAGAATCGCTATAGTTGGCAAGATTTGGGGAAAGGAAGAGAAGGTTGGTGTATAACGTTTACCAAACGTGCTCACAAACGGCGATGGAACTAAAAGTGTGGATTCGATTCGACTTTGACCTAACATCAGGCTTTACGTGGGAGCTTGGACGCACTATCTGGGGTTTGGAAAGCTACCAATGCAGCAATTCTATCAGTAAAGTAAAAGTTCCGACGACGTCAATAAATATGGCAACTTTCATAGCCTTAGTGAGTCGAAATGTCCAAATGATAACCGCCAGACGTCTTAATTACCGCCCAGTGAGGTCAAGTTGTGACATTTTCGCTTGCCAACTAGGTATTAAAATAGAAGTTGGCCTTGGCATTCCCCTGCGCTCCCTCCCTCTCCTCGTAGAAAATTTCACTCCACTCCCAGGCAAATCTCGCAGTTTTAAACACCACAAATTTCATAAATCCCTAAAAAATGGCTGCAAAAAGCACCACAAATTTTGTTTAAATTATCCCCCAGGCATGGCGTGAACTTCAAAGTGTCATGCAAGCAAGCGTGCAGGAAGTTGTGCCACCAACACCTCACCAAATTGATGGCATCGGAGGGTGTTTTTGTGCGCCGAGGCAAAAGACACCAACTTTCCTCCCTCAGAACACCCCCCACCTCGCATTAATCACCAGATCGAAGAATTTTATTTGGCAAAATTAATAAAATAATACATTGTGTAAGTAAATTAGAAAATCTCTTCTCCCCCTCGCCTTCCGCCTCTGGGCCCCCACCCTCCCTCAACTCCACAAAAAAACAGTGGTCTTTTGAAATGCACATAGAAGTCACCTCAAAGAAGCCGAATTGGATGATTTATTTTGCGCGTGCCTTCTACAACCGTAGGGGCACAGACTGCAGGAGCGAGGAAGCGAGGGAACAAGAGAGCGAGAGAGAGAGAGAGAGCAAGCGAGCGAGCGAGCGAGCGAGAGAGCGAGAGCGGCCGAGGCCTAGGCCGAGTGAGGGAGAGCAGGAGCAAGCGAACGAGAGCGAGGGATTGAGCGAGCAAGCGTACGAACGAACCAACGTGGTCCTCACGCTCATGACAGTTTGATTCTCGTCATAAAATTGTGTGTGCAATTTACCGCTCTATCGGCGCCACAACTAGCCTGACAGTCTTGCAGAAGGCCAAAAATACATGCCCACTTTTAAGGGGGAAAAATTCTTGTGCCGAAGGTAATGACGATGTTGCACCTTTTTAAGGTTAGAGAGTGAGGGCGGTTAGATGACAGATGCTAATCGTGAGAGAACTTTTAGTAGGGCTTCCAGTTGGTGTGCATAGGTGCTTTAGAGGAGTGGTGGTGAGTGATGAGGAAGAGTGGGCATTGACATACTTCCAAATTGGTAACACAAGGCTTATAAAAGACGACCCACATAAGTCAATTCTTTAAGGAATGCAAAATGGATGGAGCGAAGTAGATATGAGTACGAAATGGTGAATCCCAGATTGCAGTGGAATAGCATATTAAATCGATTGTAGTAAAGTCTGTAAACCATATTTCCGTAACTAAGATGGGATGGATCGTCTCAGCTACATGCAAATTTGCCACTGTGTTGTCTCGACGGTTATCATTTGATGCCACACGAGATGAGAATAAAGCGTTTCTCTAAAAGTACATCAAGGAAGCATGACAAATTGTTGCATAATTAAAAGTATTATTCTGGTAGGAGAGGGCGGATTAAATATTGGATTACAAAACATGCCAATTAAAATTGTGGTTAAATCGTTAGTTGATTGGGTACACAGCTGCTCGTCATCTGATTGGTTCAGCGTTCATCCAATTACGGGAGAGCGAACCTCAAAATAACCGATAGGATCTGAAAGGTCTACCGTACAGCTTGCGGCAGATAATTTAAATTGTTGCTGTCCATGTGAGTTGGGAATTAGTTGCCTTAAAACAACTTAAATTCGAATTGCGTGATTTTCATAATAACCTCATTACTTTGATGGGAAATTTTAGGCCGCTTAAATTTTATAAGTAGCTGGGTTTGGGTACCGAAATTCTGCTGAGCATACATTAGACAGTACTCAAGCTGGTGTGAAATGGGACTCATTTTAATAGATGGGTGACGTAAATGCACTTGTAGACTTGCAAAAACCATCGAATATAAGTCATCAAGTTAAATGGGGCTCTCATTGCCCGCTCTTTAATTGATCCTTAATTTTTTAATGTACTGGGAGGCAAGAAAAGTTACACTTCCACAATATAACATTCATGCAATGATTAACTGGTATACAGTATAATTTGATGTTGTGTCAATCGAAAGTGTCCACGGATGTCAAGGGTGTCAAACCTGTGTAAGAAAAGAAGGAAAATACAAATTACAACTTCTCATTTTACGCCTTTCACGATGGTAATGTGGACTTAGTAGCCGAAAGCAGGGAGTCAAAGACTGACAATGGGCCATTCATTTCCAGTGGGTTCAAATTGCTTCGAGTTACATTTAAAGTTTATCGATTTATTAGCTTTTATAAGCAGAACTAAATAATATTAGCATCAGCTTTATTTTAAATCTTAGGTTCAAAGCAAAGATAATCTGAATGTCATTTAAAACAATAGCTTGTACTGTTATTTTGCAAGCAAGAAACGTTTTTTTTAGTAAAAACAAAATCAACATATTTGATCAATTATAAGCATTTTCCTTAAGCCGCAAGAATCTACGTAGGCGAAGAGAAGACAGAGGAATGGAACCAGTCTGGGGTGCGAAAAGCCTTGACTTATTCGGATGTAAGATCACTTTGAATGACTATGCTTTGTAGACGGCAGACGAATGGCCTTTGAAAAATCATTCGAGTCATGAAAGTAGTTACAAATGGCAAAATTAGCCGCCGTCCACGTGCGTTAGAAATGTTAAAAGCCTACAAGTTCCCACAGAACTCTGAGTATAGCACAACAGAGGAAGCCATAGTGCGACCACGGGTTCGTGCTAGAAGCAAGGTGGACCATTTGATGACGCTGAATATAGCGTCTACGAAATCATTTTGAATATTTTCGAACTACTACTTATAAGAATTGTAAGTAGGGTGTGCCGAAATCATATTGTTCGTGTATCATTTTACCACCTGTGCCTCAGTCACGTACTTTTGTCATTCTTTTCGTGTTGTCTCAGCAGCCTTGTTTTACGCATACATGCGAAAAAAACTAACTATTGTCAGATCAGTGACTATGTCCTGAACAAGCCTTAATTAGCAGGAGGTTCGAATGGACGAAAAAAGGCGAGTCCGTCTGCATCGTTGACTGGTAACATGCATTTTTGATAACTTTCTTTGCTTTCTTCCGATTTAGGACCTAAGAGCAAGTAAAATGACGTCGGTCGATTCGTCTAAGGTCTGCCATGTTTGGCGACAGTGACTAAATAGGATGTGACAGCAAATGCTGAAATTTATCGGCTTCTCTGGGAATTTGAAGCCATTGCACAAAACTGGCCTCAAACGACATAAATTCATCTTGGATTGTCTACCATTACTGTACAATCTCAACCTCACTACTGTCATGAAATAGAAGATGATAGCCTTTAATTCCAATTAAAGGGCATACCGGGTGGAGGATCTTTTCTTCTCCTTCAACGGAGCCCTTTTAAGAGAAAAACGACTTGAAAATTTGTTTTTTCTTGTGTTCCCTAAAGATTGCGTGATCACACCCAACTACTACTATACGGCAAATCCTTTAAAAAATTTACATACTTTTTATGTGATTGTCCAACTTTCACTTCAATAAGGGCATTTCGGCAAAGAAATTTCGATGGCTCACCCTTCTATTCGCGCCTTATCATTTGAGGCGGAATTTGCGTTCTTGGACCACCGTCGAATAGACCTTTAACAACGTCCGCTTTTTCTGCCATCCCAAAAAATACACTTTTAGCACATTTTAGGAGAAGCATTTTAAGGTGAAATCTTTACGAGATTGTACGACACTGGAAATTCACTTACCAACGATTCACTCCTCTGTTGTCCTAACCTTTTGTCCATCCGTTACTGGATCACATATGTGAATCTAAACAGAGGAATTTGGATGTACCAGTGTGTTGGATGGAGTTTTGGCTTGAGTCCAACTTCCCATTGGGTCAGACTGGAGACTGTGAGCCAGAATAAGGTCGTGATGTGGACAACCCCTAAACTGTTTAAAATGAGTCAAGCAGCAGTCCACATCACATTTATTCAA